TTCTCATGTTAAGTGGTTTGGGCTATGGCGGAACCCTAAAACAATCTAAGAATAACGGATCAAGCATTTGGAAGTCCATCAAAACAAAATGACAAAGCGATCAATCTTTTATAAGGCTCAGAAAAATTACAGTAATATGAAATTTCAAAGAATTTGAATATTTGACCGTCACCATAGTCTCTCCTAGTAACACTCCAGAGGAGCGATTGAAGAGGGAGAATCCTATTATGGACAAAGTAGTCGCTAGGCTTGCGATGTTGACAACGTCATCAACTTGATATCTTCGATTAGTTTGTCTAGATATTTGTATGAACATCCACCTTTACTCACACTTGCCTTGGCCACATTCGAAATTTGATCAGCCCTTTGCAAGAATTCTTCCTTCTTCGACTCCATAAGCTCCCTAACCATCCTTTCTACTATCTTTCTGTCGCATGTATCTTTCATGTCCAAACCGAGCTTCCAAATCTCTCCCACAAACCTACTATTAACTTGCTGGTCAACAAAATATGGCCAGCAGATCATTGGCTTCCCTTCCACTATACTCTCCAGTGTTGAGTTCCATCCACTATGGGTCAAAAACCCACCAATTGCTGGGTGGGACAAGACCTCTTCTTGTGGGGCCCAACTCACAATGTACCCCCTCTCTTTTGTAGCTAGAGACAAGTCCATAGGAATTTCAAATTCTTTCTCCAATCCAACAACTGAACCTGGCCTTCGGACCCATAAAAACCTTGTTCCACTATTCACCAGACCATACCAGATTTCCAGGACTTGGTCCATGGTCATGACTGCGAGACTTCCAATGCTAACAAATAAAACAGATTTAATGGGTTGCATATCAAGCCAAGGGATGCAACTCCTGTCTTCTTTCCAGATGCTATTTGATATTGTTTCTGTTGCTAGTCTTGTTTTCAAGTGAGTGTGAAGTGGCCCTATGGGGTAGATTTTTGGGCTGATTTTGCGCATTTGTGATAATATGGGTTCTTCAAGATCCTCAAATGTATTGAAAATCAGTCCTTG